ATTGTAGAACAGCGTCCGCCTCCCCAGTGTGGCGCCCAGAGCCGAAATCCTGCGGCCGGGGCTCTCCAGGTGGAGAAGGGAGAGGCTGAGCAGGAGGGCGGTCTTGCTCAGGGTGTGAGAAGGGACATGTGGTGGGGGGGGTGATGAGAGGGGCCCACGGGGCCTCGGCCCGGGTTCCCAAACGGAGAGGGCGGTGGGCTAGAACCTGCATGCTGCTAGCCAAAGTCCGGGACCCGTGCTGGGCGTCAGTGGGCAAGGTGAGGAAAACCCGTGGTTGTCATAAGTGTTTGTAGGATGGATTAACTACCAACTGCTGAACGGTATTCAACACGTTGTAAATACTAAAGAACTAACGAAAAATGGAGAAAACTAAAAAGTCGGTTGGGTCTGTGGACGGTCCTCTTCATAGCACTGTATAGTTACCCTGGTCACTCAGTCTGCACAGATGCAGCCGTCACCTACTGTGTCGACAGCAGAGTTTGGGGCGGGGTGGGGGTGGTTGGGTGGACTTGATAATGAATAAGACATCTTTGTCCTCGAGGAACTTAGAATCTGGAGATGGTGTCGCTGTGGGACATGATGAATGAATGCCACCAGAGGTAGAAACACGGTGGGGGAGCTTGCAGGTGACTCGCAGAGGGCGTGTGCGTTAGATGCAGACTGTCAGTCTCTGGAGGGCGGTGGGCTTGGAGTTCCACGCAATCGACCCCGAGGCCTAGGCTGGACCTGAGCCTCTGACCCCAGCGGGTGGGTGAGGCTCCTCCTGCCTCAGGGATCTGCCCTGCAGGCATCCTGGCCCTTGCCTGGGCGGGTCCAAAAAGTTGTCCCCTACGGACCCTGTGACCTGGGCTGAGGACAGTGGCTCTGCGCACCGTTAATCCGTGCCAGATGTGTCTGCTGCTTCTGATTTCAGCACCAAACCCTCCTCTTGTCTGTGCAGCCAGCTGTTGGTGACATCATCTGGTCATCTGGTTTACATCCTTAAAGCATTAGAGGCAAACTTAGTCACTGAAGGGCCAGGAGGGGACAGATGGGTCAGTACCCATGTTCCTCACACCTGGCACATAACTCGAAGGCTGCGCTGTCGGCCCAGCCGAGTGCGAAATGCGTTGTGGCGCCTTCCGGAGCCGGCCCTGGCCGCGTCCAGGCGGGTCCGCGCTGAGGCCAGCTCCTGTCATTCTCGGGTTCTTCTCCTCACATAAACCCGGACGAGGCCAGCGTTTCCTCAGCTCGCGTGTTCTGGGACGTGGCCCCGGCTGAAGGGCTTCATCCCCAGCTGCCTGTGCTTGGGGACGCAGGGTTAAAGTCACGGGACTGCGCAGATGCTGTGTCCGGCCGCTGAGACTCCCCAGAACTAGGTGGGCCTTGAAAACCAGGTGCCTGGCCTCCGCCCTAAGCCCACGGGGCCGGACACGTCCTGGAAGAAGATGGTACCAGTGTGGCAGCAGACATGGCAGAGAGGCAGGGACTCGGCAGCAGTCAGTCCTGACCACGGGGGTCGGGAGGGACGCGCCGGGCAGGGGAGCTTGGCAGCCTCGCTCTGGGCCGTCCTCAGGCGGAGGGCGCCTCAGCTGGGGCCTGGGACCTTCGCAGGCGTGTTGCTAGAACATTCCCTCACCCCTCCATCCACCCCTTCCCCCGACACGCAGGGAAGCTGTCTGTCATCGGGTCCCTCTCTCCAAAGCAGATTAAATTGGCTCAAGAGACATTTATTAAGACATGAGAAGGTAAAATTAAGCTGATTCCTTAACTCCAGTGTCTTTTTCTATAAAATCCCTTTATATGAGGAGAGAGCTGTTGTTTCTTGCTTCTCAAATGTACGTTAGTGTGAAGAGAAACAGAAAAAGACTCTGAATGTTCCGAGAACTTATCAACTGAGCAGCAGAAGGAGAAAGAGCAGAAAATATTCTGAAAGTGCTTATGGCGAAACACAGGCCCCACGCCCGCCCTGGGCACAGACAGCCTCCCCGCGACGATCACTCCCCCGCCCCAACCTCAGCTGACCCCACCTCGTGTTCTTGCAAAGTTTCATTTTTTCCTGTCGTTTTTCTTCAACTTTCTCTAGCCACAGATTCGTTCTAGTTAAAAGCTCTCTGTCCTGAAAATACAGATACCTTTAAAATGCAAATACAAATATTTCACAAGTAAAAACAGAAGCCACTGTCATTTATTTTTATTTATTCCTTTGTTCGGTCATCGGATCTCGTTGGCGTTCCTCCTGTGGATACTTTTAGAGTTCACTTCTAAAATAAGGCTGGAGCGAGAAATTCAGCAACAGCAGTAACAGTGCGGCCGACGTGGACTGGGCGCTTCCACTTACTGGGTTCTGGTCTCTGTGCCTTATAAATAATTTGCATGCATGACCTTATTCCATCTGCACGACCGCCCTGTGAGGTGAGATGCAGTTAACATTGGCGCTCACCAAACGGGAAACAGGGAGAGAGGTTAAGTACTTCGCCTGGGGTCGTACAGCCGCAGTGGCAGAGCCCGGCCCGACCAGCGCATCCTCAGAGCACAGAGCTGTCGCTCCTGTCTGGTGCCTCCTTGGTGCGGCCGTGGCGCGTGGGGACCAAGGCCACCTGCAGGCCTCCCGGCCGCGCCC